AGTCACGTATGTAGAAATAATTATATTAATATAAATCACTACGTTTCGACCGCAACACAAGCGATCTTCATCAGGTGTAAAAAACAAATCACGGTCGTAAATACAACAAGAAGATGAGAATTCAACAATCCTAAGAAAAAATTATGTGATGCACAACCAGTCAGGCCAACAACACAGTTAGACACTTACCTGGCGAACCACGAATTTGAGAAGAGTGCTAAATTTCGTGTTCAACCTCCGGATTGAACATACCAGCATAGACAGAGTGAACAAACACGAGGTACAAGTTAGCAGAAATACATGTACAGGGACACCAAGAGGCAAGGAGAGGAAAGACGGACAGAGAAGCAAGGAAAAAGAAAAAGGGCCGGAGGGATGAACAGAAGCCTTAAATAAGAAGTAGAGGTGGGTGCTTTCTCCTGCCCCTCCCCCCGCCTCTGCTGCCATGCCCTGTCGCTCCGGACCCTCCCCCTCACCCCACCTCTACTTATTTAAGGCTTCTGTTCATCCCTCCGGCCCTTTTTCTTTTTCCTTGCTTCTCTGTCCGTCTTTCCTCTCCTTGCCAATTGGTGTCCCTGTATATGTATTTCTGCTGACTTGTACCTCGTGTTTGTTCACTCTGTCTATGCTGGTATGTTCAATCCAGAGGTTGAACACGAAATGTAACACTCTTCTGAAATTCGTGGTCCGCCAGGCAAGTGTCTAACTGTGTTGTTGACCTGACTGGTTGTGCATCACATATTTTTTTCTTAGGTTTGTTGAATTCTCGTCTCTCGTCTTCTTGTTGTATTTACCTCCGTGATTTGTTTTTTTACACCTGATGAAGATCGCTTGTGTTACGGTCGAAACGTCATGATTGATTTATTTTAATATAATTTTATGGTATTTCTACATACGTGACTTTACCGAAAAAACCAATGAGTAATTTATGCAGTCACGAAAGCTTTAATTCTTTATTAGTTCAGCATTTCTTACTTCAGCCTTTGTTCTTGCCGTGGTTGTCCCACCTGATGAAGATTGCTTGTGTTGCGATCGAAACGTCGTGATTCGTTATATTTTATTTTATTTCTACCGACGTGACTTCACCGAAAGAACCTAAGAGTATCGATAACACAGTTTTTTTTGGGGGGGGGGGGTTAGAACGTGTGAACATATAAATGTGTCGTTGCTCGCAAGTGTTGTCAATGACATCTACCCCTCTGTTTAAGGCGCGAAGTAGGAGGATTTCTCCACTAATCTGGCTGTCGCCTGATGAAGCTGGTTGTAATTACTGGCAAAACGTCGTGCTCAGATTGTAAATGTTGTGGCTTGGCTCTCCAACACACCGGTGTGCTGTACTCGTGACGAATTGGCCACGTTCTGTTTACGTGACAACCCTTACTAGTTGTAACCCTTGCTAGTGTCGGGTGGTGGCAGGCCTAACGACACATTTATATATTTACAATATCTAACCAAAACAAACCTGTATTAAGGGTCTTTCCAGGTGGCTTGTAACATCTCCCCCCCGATTTAATTATTTAAACTTATATATATTTTTAATGAGGTTAATTTTCAACAGAAGTGAATATGCAAATGAAAAACTAAATATTATGGGTCAATTAATTGGGGGTCGCAAGACATCTGGACCACCCTGTACATTTGTGTGTGACTCGCCACGTTGTGGGAAGACCTTCATCCAGCAGTGGATTGACAAAGGTCTGTAAATTATTATTGTTGTTTGTCAGCGACTTCCATCCAGAACCTTCATCGCCTTCGTCCATGGCGCAGGCACAGGCAACAGGTGAAATTTCTGGCAAGAGAGGAAGAGAGAGAATGAGGGAGAGAGAGGGAGCGAGAAAGCGAGAATACAAAACTGTGAACTTCATAAAAAAAAAATTCAGCACGTACGTCAGCTTCCCAAAATAGTTTCAACCTTGGATCCTTGCGCGAAAGAAGTCTTGGAGTAAGCTGGAGAATATTGTTTCTAAATTTAGCCGCCTTGTGTGGGAGGACAATATTGTTCTGGTAAAAAAATTAAAACCACCCACCCACGTGGTTACAAATTGGAATAATGACGCCAATGCAGCACCCGCCATTGCGAATTTGTGGGGGAAGAAAATGTGTTAATTGGGAAAGAAGCCGCAACTCTGCACTATTTAATTTTACGTCAAACACGAGGAGGCAGCAAAACAAAGTAAATAGCTTTGAGATTGTATTTGTTTTGTGCAACAACAAAAAAAACACACACACACAGTAGTCTGCACGTTTTTTTTTTTAAATAATATATTTAGCGGGCGCATATATTTCACACGTTATACTTTCAAGATCTACGCGGCATCGCGAAGTAATCATATGATTTAATTGTAAACCTCTCCGCGGATGTGTTTAAAAGCCTCGTTATTTCGCGGGGACATTATGGAATCGCGAGCATAAATCCGCCGAGCAACGTTCTCATAAATAAGGTCATATTAACATGTACGCGCCACTGATTTACTCTGCCCCTGCTGTAATAGCGACCAATGTTCCATATGTCACAATCGCCTGCCTCTCTGCCGACAATATATACAATATACGCGATGCAAACGTGCCTCTTAACATTTAAAACACTGGTGGTTTCGCGGTGTGTCCAGAGATATATTGATATCTATCTTATGCGTACGCCGTGAGTGATGCAGTACAATCTCACATTGCTACATCATGGACCGTGGTAAAAAAAAAAGAAAATTAATGTCGCGGTGCGGTAAACGCATCCGTGTCAGTCGTGGACGGTTTTTTTTTTGTGTTCACCGCAATAATAGGGTCTCAATTGGGGCGCTGCGACGTTGTGACCATGGAAACGAAAATTCCCAGTGGCATCCGTGACCCCCCTCCCCCACCCCCCTCCGTTGTGAATTTAAATTAGCGACGGGGGTTTTAAATTAGCGGCGGGATTTCGAAAAATTCCCAACACGGATTCGGCGACGAGGTGTTATTTCTTTTTGTTTTACCACCACTACCACCACCACGACTACTACACGTGTGTCAGGGGCCCGTCGCCACTCGCGCATACAGGTGGCTGTTGTAACCCCGATGCATTTCCGTTGATGGGTGCTCTATTCCCGAAAAAAACCCACATCACCACGAGGTGACAAGTGGCATGCCCGTCTCTCCCCACCCCCCCCCCCCCCAAAGCTCCCTCCGTGTTCCTGGAGTCGATAGGGGATTCCGCGGGCCGTTTTAAAGCGACCGGCTGAATTTTCAATTCTGAATTCTCAACAACAGGATTCGCAGCGGTGGGGTTCCCGCGGCGATTTCAATTTGCAATAATTAAAGGCGAATGCAGTGGAGAGGATAAGCGGCGACCTGAGGGCCTTTCCACACCTTGACATTGGTAATGATGCATCGGTAATACTGCATTGGTAATAATACCTTGGCAATAATACATCGTTAATAACTACATCGGTAATAATACATCGGGGTGCCGTTGTGGCAAGATGTTAACTACCTCGCTTGGTGTACAGGAGATCGTGGGTTCGATCCTGACCCTGACACCTGCATAATTTGAGGTTGCATGTCGACCCAGTGGTCGCGTGGATTTCTCTCCGGTTCCTCCACTTTTTCCCTCCACATTTAGAATCAACAACACGCGTTTAGAGTGTTTGGCTGCCGCTATAAATTTCCACGTGATAAGCCACTTCGTTGAACTATCAATTGTGGCCAGGTCGCTTCTGAAAAAGAGCTATATGGCTCAGCCGGCTTTATCTGGTAAAATAAAAAAAAGTGAATTACAAAAACTGCGGTTGGTAATAATACATTGGAAATAATACATTGGTAATAATACATTGGTAATAATACATTGGTAATCATACATTGGTAATCATACATTGGTAACAACCACCCTTTCTCCCACCTCTGGAATTTGTTTAAAAAACACATCTGCTATAAAGAGAGTGTTGAGACTCACTAAGGATTTCTTGGGAAAGTAACTGGCATTGCCATTAATTCTCGTAAAAAACATATAATATAAACGATACTTTACATCACCTTTTACGTGGTGATTGATTTGAAGCTTTCGTGACTGCAGGACATTTTTATTTAATTTTTATTTAATTTTATTTCTAACTACGTGACTTTACCGAAAGAACCAAATGGTAACAATAACAATCTTCGATGAAAACCCTTTTGTCAATCGACTGCTGGATGAAGGCCTTCCCCAAGCCTTTCGTTCATGGGTGTCATTTGACCATACTTCACAGTGCGGGTCAGTGCGAGTAGGACAACTGGGAGAGCCCAGGACAGTTTCGGGTAGCACTCGCCACTGCTGTTGGCTGTGACCGGGAATCGAGCTGAGGGTCACCAGCTTCGTATTCCAGTACATTAAGCATGATGCCTCTGCACTGTATGAATACTTATTACGATTGTTATCTATATTCACGTGCTATAAAAAGGACCATTGCCCGTTATTTTAAGGCCACGGCGTTATTGACGAATGTGTTGAGTTTGTTAGCATAATTACTTCTACAATAATGATTACGACAATGACGACGATGGTGACAAAAGTGATGAGGATGATAACAATGATGATGACGATGATGACGATGATGATGACGACGATAATGATGATGACTATGATGAAAATGACGACGACGATGACTATGATAATGATGATGGAGGCGGCGTGAAGTTAAACGGTGCTCGATAAAAACGCGGCAGGCGAACGAAGCCATCTCGGGATCATCAATAGTCAAAGTTATTTTCGCGATAAACAGATCGGCCCGGGAAACAATGAAAATGCTAAAGATGTCCCCTAATGCGACGGGAGTGACAATTCCACGCGAGCCAAACGCTCCGTCCGCTCTTCACACACACACAGACGCACATGATAGGGCTGCGTGCCCAGCCTCCGCCACTGATAGCCAAGCGCTCGATTGAGATCTGTTCAGCTCGACCGGAATGGCTCGTTGGGCTGCAGAGAACACTGATACAAAGAGCTCCGGCACGTGGACGGACCTAATTTCCTCTCTTCCCGCTATCTCGCGCAGCCGTGAAGCACATCAAGAGGCGTGACCTGATGTTGAAGAGAGAGCTGGGGGAAGGAGCCTTCGGGAAAGTGTTTTTGGCGGAGTGCTTCAACCTGTACCCAGACATCGAAAAGACGCCCGTGGCTGTCAAGGTTTGTCGTACCCCTCTTTTACCGTTCTAACACGGGATTACGCTGCTATGAAATTAGGCGGTGGCTGCCTAAGGATGCGTGTGTATGTATGTATGTATGTTGAACCTCTTTTGCACCGTACGTAGCCAACAGCGCTAATCGGAGGTGCGGGGTAAGGACAAGAAACTGAACGTGAAAAAAATCAGTTCTAAAAAAAAATCCGTTTTCGATCTAGATTTTACAGTGCATAGCTCCGGTGGCTTCCTAACATGGGAAGGAAGAGCGTTCCAGACGGCCGCAGAAGCGAGACTGAAAGCGCGCGATGCGGTGACCGTCTGTCTTCGATGGCCAGCCAAAAGCCGCTGCGAGGACGACCGGGAGTTCGCGTGACGGTTTATGCCCCCAGACGGGATCAGCAAGTGGGCAGGAGTCGACGCGACGGAGATGGAGCGACAAGAGATCATGTTGCAGGAGATGGATCCTGGATCCTGGCACCGCGAGGCCGTGGGGGCACGGACAACTTTCCCCTTAACGGAGGCGGAGAGACAGCGGCTGGTGGTGGTGGCGGCCGATGGGCCCGAGGAAGGATGCAGTCCGACATCTGCATCGCTTGTCATCGTGGTGGTTGTTCAGCGTGGACATCTCATCGATATTATGAGATGAGGTGTCTAATATTAGGAAGTCACTGGAGCCTATGCACTTTTCAATCGAGATAAAAAAATAATAATCTTTAGAACTGTTTTTTTGTTGTGTTTATTATTTTTGTCCTTCCCCCCCCCCCCCCCCCCGCATCTCCTATTCGCATGGTTGGCTACGTACGGTGCGAAAGAAAGTTCACCATACATACGTCTATAGAAATCTATATAAGATAAGATCCAGCCTGCAAGAAAGCATTTGCAATGTTTCCTTTGCCAAGGGAAGCTCACTCTCCATGCATGGTGTGAAAAACTATAAATTACCGTATAATAATAATAATATTCGTTTTCAGCGTTTCCTAATCGACCATTGCATGGAGGCTTTCCTACAAAAAAATAGTCATGGGGTACGTTTGACCATAATCACCCCGCTGGTCAGCGTGGCATGTGGTGAAAAGGAAGGCCAGGTGGGAAAGGCCAGAACTGGTTCAGATATCGATCATTCACCTTAGTCCTGGCTGGGAATCTAACTCAGGCCATCGGGTTCATTAGCACACGGTGCGCTTAACCACTGCGGTTCCACTGTTCAACCTCTCATATCGACCAACTTTGTAAAACTCTGCCATTCTTCCTGCTTAACAATTTAACTTTTTCTTACAGGGCTTCAAAAGCAATAGGGGATTCCCTTATCTCAATTGGGCAAGTTGATAAAACCACAGCATCAGGAATTATTCTGTATTTATTTTTATTTCCCTGCCAGAGAAAATAACATTTCATTCTGTATAATGCACGGGTTTGCTGCCTTATCCTGTACAGTTCCACCGATGTATACTTTGATCCTAGAGCCACTGACCCCGTACATGGCTCATCAGGACTATCTGGGGGTAACAAAAATGCGAACAAAGGTTTATCTTTAAAGTTTGTATCTCTCTAGATCACTAATACGGATGATAGCAAGCGTCAGCGTAGCAGCCTTTTAATGAGAGCATTGTTTTAGTTAATTAAAGAAAGGTGCCGGAGCACACTCGATGGAGACTATTGCTTTGCAACAAAACATTTAATGTGACTTGGAAAATCGACTCAATGTGAGAATTGAGTAGAAAAGTTATGCAGGATAAGCTTCATGTCCATGGTGGACAATGCCCATGGTGGACATTCTCAGTGATGGACACTGCCCATGGTGGACACGTTCCGTGGTGGACACTGCCCATGATGAATACTGTCCATTGTGGACACTACCCTTGGTGGAGACTCCCAGTGGTGGACGATGCCCACGGTGGAGGCTGGTGGCAGTTGTCCAGCCCAGGTGGTATACCGAGCAAGCCCCCTCTCTCGCCTGCCACTTTGCAAGCACGCGGCTTCCCGTGCGACCTATACGTCGGCACTGCACTAGACAACAATCCGGGCCATATCCACCCACATGCCCCCCCCCTCCCCCCATGCCCCCTTCCACGCCCCTTTCACCCTCTCCTCCCCCCATGTCCTCATTCTCCACCCCCCCACCGCATTAGAATTGATGGCCGTGGTGCCACCCTCCCCCCCACCCCCTCTCCCCCCGTTATTAGGAGCAACGGGCAAGGCACTCCGGCACTGCAGGCATGGTTTGTCATGGGCACGACGGTGAGCGTGCTGGAAATTAATGAACTGAAAAAATAATGAGAATTTCTTTCGCGAGAGGAGAAGAAAAAAAACGTGCTCGACGAGCGGGGATACCTTTGTTATATCGCGGCCGCATTAGAAATGCAAATTCAAAAGAAGGTTTGGTAATTAGAAACAAATATCGGGGCCTCCCAACAAAAAGTCTTCAAATTGTGTTTCCAGGCGAGCGGCTGTGATCATAGCTCAGGTGATAAATTTCGCAGGTTATCCCTCGCTACAATCCCACGCTCATCCCGGCGATGCCCTATTTCGGCATCTGAAGCCACAATTTAAATTGACTGTGCCACCTCCCCCACCACCCCCACCGTGTGGGTCTCCTGCCCAGGTGACTGCATCGTTAAATGAGCACCGGGGCACCCGAGTTAGCCATGCTGACGTGCATACGAGAGAAAGCAAACCCGCTCACCCACCCACTCACCCACCCGCTCACCCACCCACTCACCCACCCACCCGATCACCCACCCGCTCACCCACCCGCTCACCCACCAACCCGCTCATTCAACCCACCCACCCCTCACCCACGCGCTCACCCACCCACTCAATCGCCCACCCCCGCCTTTCAGTCCAGCCAGGCTTCACACAGAGTCCGCCCGAGCGTCGCTCCTTCAACCATCGTTCCTCCCCCCTTGGAGCACCCTGAGCACCGGCGAATGGTACACGGCGGTGATGATCATCCGTTGCCCTTCCGGGGGGGTTTTACCTGCTTCCGCTCTGCTGGCTTACAACCCTTTTGCTGATTTACGGACATCGCAGCACTTTGAAGCAGGGGACACAAAGACAAAGATCCCTCCCGCGTTGCATTAACAGACTGTAGGGGCAAGTGCTGTTAGCGAGCAGCACCTATGAAGGCCGGAACGGTACGCGATGTAGTGGGTGGGCCAGGACCACGCCCGACCACCTTTGTCTCCTCCGTGGCGATGTTTTTACATATCGCACCAGGTACTCATTTGAGGCTGAGTCGATCTAGGGGAAGCCCAGCACCGGTTCAGATAATCGTCACCGGTGTTGGCCCTGAGCAGGAATCGAACCCGGGTCGTCGGGTTTGTAGCGCGGCGTGCAAACCGCTCGACTTGCGTGCAGGGGACATAGACATACACGCACAAACACGCACAGACACGCACATACACGCACAGACACGCACAGACACGCACAGACACGCGCAGACCTGAAAATAACAATAAGGTATTTAATTAGCGTCATACATTTACTCGGTTATATAATTCCCAGGGACACATTACGCATAGTTGGTGATTTTTTTCCCCTCTCCTATGTCCACCCCCCCGGCAAGCAATGCAATGGTCTAATAATGTGAAATGTGTACGTGAGATAATGAATACTTGAATGTGATTCAGGCGAATGGCCAGAGGACATTGGAGGACGTAGGCTGGTCAAGTGATTATGTGGGATCAGGAGTAGGGGAGAGTTGTGGACTGGACAGCCCTCTCGGTGATGATTAGACACCAGCACTCCAACACTGCAGCTACACACACACACACGCCAGTGTAAGGCCATTTCTACCAAATGCAAAAACATACTTTCGCGAAAAATTTGAAAACAAAAATAAGCGGACAATTTTTCGCTTTCATAATTTCATAATGTTTAGTCAAATTGAGATGCGAAAGCAATATTTGTTCTGACACCGTAACGTCGTAGGACACCCCCCCCCCCCCCCCCAAAGCACGAGTCCCGGGTCGATCGCCCCAGTTCGAAAAGTTGTGTTTGCTCTGGTAGAACACGAGCATTTAGCTTAAATAAAAAAAGGTGCAGGCTATACAATCTATTTTCTAATGCCACTGCTGGGGGAATAATTAATTTTAATAGATGAATCAATGTCTATTTCCACTTCCACGTAATTTTTGTTTATTGCACTTCCAATCAAGAGGCCTTCCTTCCGGGAGAGCATAAACTCATCGGCGCATCGTCGACGAATGTTTCCACCACGAATCTCGTCGAAGGCACTTGCCTTCGACGAGCCTCCGCCACGTCCATTCGATGATTATTTACCACACCCATTCGCCCATCAGTTTTACCTCGCCACATCTTCGCGCTCGTGCGGCGGCGCCCCGTCCGACGTTATCCAGCGAAGGGCGCCACATGTGTCCGCGCGTATACACACGTGCGTGTGAAAACATAAATTATGACTGTTTGCGACCGCCATCGCCACCACGAGCAAATTCCGGTCGCCCGACAACAGACGTTCCCTCCCTCGCGCAGACCCTGAAGGACCTCAGCGGCGGTGCACGCAAGGATTTCTACCGCGAGGCAGAGCTCCTCACGAACCTGCAGCACGACCACATCGTGCGCTTCTACGGCGTCTGCTCCGAGGGCGAGCCGCTCATCATGGTGTTCGAGTACATGCGGCACGGTGACCTCAACAAGTTCCTCAGGTGAGATCTCGGTATGTGTGGCAAGGTGACCTCAACAAGTTCCTCAGGTGAGATATCGGTATGTGTGGCAAGGTGACTTCAACAAGTTCCTCAGGTGAGATCTCGGTATGTGTGGCACAGTGACTTCAACAAGTTCCTCAGGTGAGATCTCGGTATGTGTGGCACGGTGACTTCAACAAGTTCCTCAGGTGAGATCTCGGTATGTGTGGCACGGTGACTTCAACAAGTTCCTCAGGTGAGATCTCGGTATGTGTGGCACAGTGACTTCAACAAGTTCCTCAGGTGAGATCTCGGTATGTGTGGCACGGTGACTTCAACAAGTTCCTCAGGTGAGATCTCGGTATGTGTGGCAAGGTGACTTCAACAAGTTCCTCAGGTGAGATCTCGGTATGTGCAGCAAGGTGACTTCAACAAGTTCCTCAGGTGAGATCTCGGTATGTGTGGCAAGGTGACTTCAACAAGTTCCTCAGGTGAGATCTCGGTATGTGCGGCAAGGTGACCCCAACAAGTTCCTCAGGTGAGATCTCGGTATGTGTGGCACAGTGACTTCAACAAGCTCCTCAGGTGAGATCTCGGTATGTGTGGCAAGGTGACTTCAACAAGTTCCTCAGGTGAGATCTCGGTATGTGTGGCACAGTGACTTCAACAAGTTCCTCAGGTGAGATCTCGGTATGTGCGGCAAGGTGACTTCAACAAGTTCCTCAGGTGAGATCTCGGTATGTGTGGCAAGGTGACCCCAACAAGTTCCTCAGGTGAGATCTCGGTATGTGTGGCAAGGTGACTTCAACAAGTTCCTCAGGTGAGATCTCAGTATGTGTGGCAAGGTGACCTCAATAAGTTCCTCAGGTGAGATCTCGGTATGTGTGGCAAGGTGACTTCAACAAGTTCCTCAGGTGAGATCTCGGTATGTGTGGCAAGGTGACTTCAACAAGTTCCTCAGGTGAGATCTCGGTATGTGTGGCAAGGTGACTTCAACAAGTTCCTCAGGTGAGATCTCGGTATGTGTGGCGCGGTGACTTCAACAAGTTCCTCAGGTGAGATCTCGGTATGTGTGGCAAGGTGACTTCAACAAGTTCCTCAGGTGAGATCTCGGTATGTGTGGCACGGTGACCCCAACAAGTCCTTCAGGTGAGATCTCGGTATGTGTGGCAAGGTGACTTCAACAAGTTCCTCAGGTGAGATCTCGGTATGTGTGGCACGGTGACTTCAACAAGTTCCTCAGGTGAGATCTCGGTATGTGTGGCAAGGTGACCTTAAAAAGTTCCTCAGGTAATCAAGGTGCCGCAGACATCTCGTGTTCCAGCCACTGTGTGGTTGATTAGGGTCCTCATGTGGTAAGTAGATTTGATTATAATTATTAGTAAGGCACTTGTTTTACTCAGGATTAGTCTCACTGAGTCTCAAGACTCTTTCTCAGAAGGGTCCTACCAGGTTTTCGCAGTAGGGAGGGCAATTATTGTGGTCTGCAATCCAAAGTGAGTGATTTGCGGTGGAATCTTTTCAAATTTGGTCCGTGACGCTGGTACACAATGTCACTCCCTTTTGTACAAATGGCGTCACGGGACCTTTAACGTCCACTCTGCAGCAGACGGCGTGGAGTATTTTTACGATAATTAATCGGGGCGGCCGCTCGATTCGAACCGTAAACAAGTGGCAAATGCGCTACCGCTATGTCACGTCGCCAAGAGCAAAATATAGTGACCCATAGAACTGCATCGAGACCCATAGACCTACGTAGAGACCCAGAGACTTCCACATAGACCTATAAAATTACGTAGAGACCCATAGGCGCAAGTTGACTGAGCTGTGATTACATGGGGTTCTCGAATGTACAGAGTTCATGGCTTCAGCCCAGTTATAAACGACTTCACACACACACAAAAAAACATCACAATAATAATAATGGTTTTTGAACTCAGTTTCTCAAAATTCCAGCTCTCAAAGTGCAACATTGTCGGTCTGACTTCTACGCGGCAGCCGATTTTTCTCCAGCGGCGCACGTGGGGAAGTGAACCTCTGTTGTGTGTGGCTGCAACGGGTCACCTGACGGGATCTCGGCAGTCGTTCCGCGACATCTTCCTCCGTGTGCCATTTTCTACGGTGCGGGGTGGCGCACCGCCCTGCTCGGATTTCAGATGGACTCTTGTTTGTCTCATCACGTGACTCCCGACAGCACACTCGGAATAAAATTGGGGAATTACAAGAAGAACCCCCCCCCACTTTCCAGTACTTTAATGTTCAAAGTCAAAGTATATTGAGAGACACAGGGCGAATGCTCATGTACATTGTTGACCTTGATCCAGAAATAACAAAATTAATAATGCCCTTTATTTAACCTAGAAGAGGCCTTGCTGAGTCTCAAAACTACATTTTTTCAGGAGGCTCCCGCATTGAGCCAACGTATGGCCAACTCCACTAATGAGAGCCTGCCGTCATGCGGGAGGAAGTGTATGTGCGCGTGTTGAACTTGTTTCGCATCGTACGTAGGCAACCGTGCCATTCCGAGGTGCGAAATCGGTGGAGCCACGCACACACAACACACAAAATCCTGCGTACGTGTGGATTGCAGAATCCATTGCTCTGCTGCCACCCCCTGGCAGACTCTGATGCGCAACCGCTGTTGACCTTGGCGGGCAGGCTGGTGGTGACACTGGTGCCTCGCAGCAGGAAGTTCCCCGGGCTCGATTCGCGACGCGGGATTACTTTTCTCCGTGGTGGAGTTTGTCAAGTTCTCCCGCTGATCTGCGCGGGTTTCCTTTGGGTCCTCCGGTTTCCTCCAAGAGCTTCAAGCAGCCATACATGTGTTGGCCACACATCCCAATGTTGAAATAATTATACTGCAAGCTACTCAGTTGGGATCACACGCAGCAGCAGCAGGAGCAGCAGGAGCAGCAGCAGCAACTTCGGCCCCTCTTGCGAAATCTTGGCAGGACCCTCCCGCACCTCCGATTAGAAGTTCAACGTACGTACATACGTTAAATAGAGGATTACACGTGGCACCACGTACTCATTTGAGGCTGAGCCAGCCTAGGGGAGGCGCAGAGGATCGGTTCAGATAATCCTCATCACTGGTGTTGTGGCCACAGGCAGGAATCGAACTCACGAAGAACAACAACCGCCAGTCGCCACTAAGTGGCGGTGACATCACCACGGCGCCTGTGCCAGGCTACGTGCACGTTAAGGCCACGTGAAAGTGTCGAAGGGCCCGCTGGCAGGAGGTCACGGGACAGACCCAGGTGTCATGGGGTTGACTGACTGAGATGACTGGTAGATACACACCACCTGTGCCCCCTACTGTGCTATCTTGCGTGCAGCACTTTCCGATGGTATCCACTGATGAGGCGTTGTTTTTTTTCATTTTCCTTCTCAATAAACAGAACGCTGAGCACATCGAATAATCCCGTACCCTCCTGTGTGCACCCCCCCCCCCCCCGTATTTCATAGTCCCCGGGTATTTCTTGGTTTTAATGGCACGGCGGGCTCGTGGGAGCAGAGAGGGCCCAAATTCGGAGACCCCTTGTGCTGTACATGACGTCTACCCCGCTCTTGCCGCGCAGATGGACGAGAGGGCTTTACATTTCCCAGAGGGGAATTTTTACTCTTTTCGTTTTGCTTTTTGCTTTCTGGTTTTAGCCGACGGATATTTGTTTTTTTTTCCATATATAGGAAGCCCTCACGTGCGCGCGTGTGTGCTGTGCGGAGCGGTAGTGTAACGGTTAGTGCAACGCGCTACGAGCCCGTTCGATTCCCGCTCACGGCCACCAACACCAGTGACTAATATCTGAACCGGTCCTGTAATTCCCCTCGGTCGACTAGCCTGGTGCGGTGTGTAAATATCACCACGGGGGAGACAAAGGCGGCCGGGGGCGGTGATGGCCACCCTCGTGTACCGTTCAGGCCTTCATAGGTGCTCGCTAACAGCACTTGCCCCAACACTCTGTTAAGGCTGTATAGGGGATCTTTGTCTTTATTGTGAGAGTTGTGTGTGTGAGATGCCCTTAGCCCCCAGTGAAATGACACTGGCCACTCGCTCCACATCTCATTATAAGACCTCAAAATTATTTTTTTACCGAAATTAAATAAAGGAAATGTGAGCGTGCACTTAAATTGTTTTAAGAAATAATTTATTCTGACCAACCCTAAAATATTACCATTTTTTTTTACGTTTAGTCCCTTCAACGTCAGAAGAGGCAATCGACCAATGAGATCTCTTTGATACGAAAAATTAATATCTCGGAATATTATAAATGTTGGTGATGATGGCATGCTGTCATGGGCAGCACACTAGAATGTCCATCCAGAGGTCACCAGGTCAACACCCCTCAGGGGTGGCAGTTGAAACGGTGGCAAGTTTCTAAAATCCACCCCGCAGCCTCTTTCCACCCAGCAGTGTAAATGGGTTCACCACAGTTAGACGATTGACAAGTCGTGTGTGTGACGGTTTAGCGCGCTGCGCTACGAACCCGGCGACAAGAGTTGGGATTCCCGCTCACGGGCAACACCAGTGACGATTATGAGAAACTCGTCGTGGGCCTCCCCTAGGTCGACTCAGCCTCAAACGAGTACCTGGTGTGGTGTGTAAACATCGCCCCTGGGGGGACAAAGGCGGCCAGGCGTGGTGTTGGCGATCCACCCCCATAGGTGCTCACTAACAGCACTTGCCCCAACAGTCTGTTCAGGCTATACAGGGAGTCTTTGTGGTGTGGTAATGTGTGGGTATTCCCACATTTTACAAGACGTCTGGACCGCGTGGAAGAGGAAGCTAATGCAATCAATTAACAGGGGCTCTCGAGAGCAGGGGTCCCCAACCCCCGGGCTGCGGACCGGTACCGGTACCGGTCCCTGGCCTGTTAGGAACCGGGCCGCACAGCAGCAGGAGGTGAGAGCGGTGAGTCCGCGCGTGGCCCGCCCCCATTATTTTATTATTTACCACTTCCGTCCGCGCCTCTTTCCCGCACTGCGCACTCAGTCTCAGTCACAGTGTTGGTATGAAGCCCACAAGCTCTAACCCCTAGTAGCCACAATGGATAAAAAAACAAACGTCGCTGGAGAGCTTCTTTTAAAAGGGGGAAAGACCCAATGATGAACCCCCGCCCACCACCGGTCCGTGAAAAAATTGTCTTCCATGAAACCAGTCCCTGCTGCCAAAAAGGTTGTGGACCGCTGCTTGAGAAAGTTCTCGAGTGAAGGCCCCTCCAGTAGCAGTGGCATCAGCAGGCAATTGCACGGCTGCCCCTTTGCCCTCATCTTATATATAGACAATAGTAATAATAAATAGAATACAAAGTAAATTTCGATTTAAAGCTTCATCTTCTTTGGTTCTTTCGGTAAAGTCACGTAGAATGAGAATAACACAATAAAATTCTCACGACGTTTCGGCCACAACACAAGCGGCCTTCATCAGGTGAAGGGACGAGACTGTCTGGAGGACAGCGCTGGAGCGAACACAGCCAAGCTCAGACCGCGACCTTTAAGCTTGGTTACGCACAGCGCAGAAGAATATCAACAACACACATATCCAAATGATCGTAATTTCCTGCAGACTTTTTTTTACATACACAAAAAAATCAAAGCCCTCTAACGGTGCCAGATGATGGAAGCTTCAACAAAAAAATCACACGGAGAATCAGATCATTACAGCGCCACACACTGATGCCCGCTCCTTTGTCAAGCTTTTGATCGCCAGCTCATTTCGGGAGATGTTGGGTATCAAATAAATGTGATTTTTTTTTACACTAAAGCAGTTCGAATCGCTGGACTACTTAATTATTTTTCACCAAAATTAATGCGAATGAGCTTGCCTGACAAAAAAAAATGGGGAGTTCAATATACATACACGTACATATTTTCCCTCCACGCTTTTTATTCTGCTCATTAATAACCCATGGCTTTGGTGATTAAGCCTACAAACCTCGTGGCCATGGCAGTGCTGTCCTACATAGGCACGCCTTTAATCAGCGAGCAACAATTGTCCTTGTCCTTCACTGACAGACATACAGCCCAAGGGATATCTAAACTATTTTGTGGAACCATATTAAATTTTACTTCTTTTTAAACAAACAAACAAACAAAAAATCGCTTCCTATGAGATGCAAGCATATGCGGGCTTTCATATTTTCTGGAGTGAGGGATTAAACACATTCCTGTGGAGGGAGCTGGTAGGAACGTTGGGTTGCTCGGTCAATGGCCAGGGTCAACGGCGGCACCACGTGGTGTATTCCACAAATATGCTCGTCTGTGAGGGCGCGCACAAGCCGGCGTGAGTAGGTTAAACGTTGAGTTTTATAAGGGCACCACGGGGTGACCAGCCCCTCCTCACCCAGCCCCACCCCTCCCACCCCCCATTCAGCCCCACCCTCCCCACGCAGCCCCTCCCCACCCAGCCCCTCCCCACCCAGCCCCTCCCCACCCAGCCCCTCCTCACCCTTCCCTCTCCACCCAGCCCCACCCCTCCCATTTTTGGATGCACGACGGACGGACGGACCAGGAGGTTCCTACCAGTATTAACTTAATTATCTCATCTATTAATGAGCTCAGATATATCGCGGTAGAGTCTGCAGAACGAACATTTGGGATGGAAAAAAAATCATAATCCAGTTCAGTCGCCTCCTACTGGACATCTGTGAACCTACTGGGCATCTATGAAAAAGAGCTTTATAGCTCATCGGATTCCTCCTGCGGTTTAAATACATTTTCTCGCTATATAAATAAATATTCTGATTCTGAAACACTCTTATCACTATTTTATCGCTGCTACCATGGTTACTGTTCCCGTTAACTTCACTCATCGATTCCTCCACCCATGTTGAGGTCTTTGTCTCTACGCGACTGTTTCGTCTCATCCACAGTGCGCTAAACCACCACCACCACCACACTGCAGGTCACCAAAACTCACCCACTCACTCACTCACCCACACACTCACCACACTGCAGGTCACCACACCATCACTTACCCACTCACTCAAAACACTGCAGGTCAGCACAACCCACTCACTCACCCACTCGCTCACCACACTGCTGGTCACGACAGCACATCACTCCACCCACTCACTCACGCACTCACTCACCACACTGCTAATCACGACATCTCATCACTCACCCACCCACTCACCACACTGCTGGTCACCACAACTCATCACTCACCCACACACTCACCACACTGCTGGTCACCACAACTCATCACTCACCCACACACTCACCACACTGCTGGTCACCACAACTCATCACTCACCCACACACTCACCACACTGCTGGTCACCACAACTCATCACTCAACCACGCACTCACCCACCCACTCACCACACTGTAAGTCGCATCCCTTCTCTTTCACGCTGCTCCACTTCGGAATTCCCTCCAATTGTCTCTTTTTCCCAATTTCCTACAACCTTGCTTAATTGTAGAAATGTGTTAATTAATATCCATTCAGACCTTCAACTGTGCCGTTTTGTTGTTGGCTCATTGCGTTTTGATCCTTTGCTCAGCAACTGAGTTGCAATACTGTATTCGAAAAAAAGTTTTGCTGGCTGGCTGGCTGGCTTCTTGGCTGGCGGGCAAGTGCGTGGTGGGGACGTCACCGTGCACCTCTGTTTGATGACGTCGCCTGTATCCCCGGGTTCGTGCGTCACGCTGACGTCAACACGCCCCCAAAAAGACAAAGATCCCCCGTGTAGCCTGTAACAGACTGCTGGGGCAAGTGCTGTTAGCGAGCAGCACCTATTAAGGCTGGCACGGCACACGGGGGGGTGGGTGGCCAGCACCACGCCTGGCCGCCTTTGTCTCCCCGGTGGCGATGTTTTACACACCACACCAGGTACTCATTTGAGGCTGTGTAGACCCACGGGAGGCCCAGGACCGGTTCAGATAATCGTCACTGGTTGTTGGCCATGAGTGGGAATCGAACTCGGGTAGCCGGGTTCGTAGGGCAGCGTGGCGCTAACCGCTACACTACAGCTCCCCCCCCCCCCAGCCGTGTAGCCCACGCAAATGCACAGGCAGTGCGAATTGAAAACCAAAATCCCCGCGAAATTCAAAACAATAAAATTGGTCCCACAATTAATTGAGCATAACCACAGGGCAATATCACCCCCCTATTGGCAGATTATATCGCTTATGGGCGACCAAAGCACCTTCGCAATAACCTTGCCGCTATATGAGGACAGCGCGGACACCGCACGTACTCGTCAATATCACCGCATCATTACTACTATTGCGTGATGTTCACGGAATGGGCGATATACATCGTAGTTGTCCCGGTTGTCCGGTTCACCCCGACGGCCCCCGTCCCACCCCTGTGCCCCCCCCCACCTCCCCACAGGTCGAACAGCCCAGATTCGTCATTCCTTGACGACACCCCGCGGCGAGGGATATACAGCGGGGAGCTCAACTGCACCCAGATGCTGCACATCGCTACGCAGGTACGCCACTGCACGCACAAAGACAAAGCTCCCCCGTGTAGCCTTAATAGACTGGTGGAGCAAGTGCTGTTTGCGAGCACCTATGAAGGCGGGCACGGCGCAAGAGGTGGTGGGTGGCCAGCGCCACCCCAGGCCGCCTTTGTCTCCCCCAGTGGCGATGTTTACACACCGCGCCAGGTACTCATTTGAGGCTGAGTCGACCTAGGGGGGGGAGGCCCAGGACCGGTTCAGATAATCGTCACCGGTGTTGGCCGTGAGCGGGATTCGAACTCGGGTCTCCGGGTTCGGAGCACGGTGTGCTAACCGCTGCGCCACCATACTCTTTGGTTCTCTCGGTAAAGTCACGTAGGTATAAAGTATAAAATGAATTAAATCACGACGTTTCGGGCGCAACACAAGCGTCCGTCGTCAGGCGGGACAACCACAGCAAGAAACAATTGCTGAAGTAGGCAAAAGAGCCGCTGATAACAAGGGGTCATATAGACGAGGGAGAGGGGGAAGGAGGCAAGGATAGAGAGGGTGGGGGTGGAAAAAAGAACCTGTGGAGCAGGGATAGAGAGGGTGGGGAGGGAAAGAGGTGGCGTGCTACAGGCTCGACATGCACGGCACATTTCCGAGTGATGGGAATGAGCAGGGCTGGGCGTAAGAAACTGGAGATGCAGATGCGAAGGCAAGCTATAAAGCAGCTAGGGTTTTACCTGGTTAATAACATCCTTCCAGTGATTGCTCAATTAGTATCCATCTTCTCGGTTGATAGTTGTCTCTGTTTAAATATCTGGATGGCTTCATGAACAAACCTTTTGCTGCGCTACCGCTCCCTAACGGCACTGCACTCACACACAGACACACAGCTCTCAGGGGGACGTGGAAGAGAGGGGGCAAGTGAAAAATGCATGTCAAGTGGTGCTCAGCGTAAAACATGAACAAAACGAGAAAAGCCACGTGCAACAAATTTATTTTTCACGGACTTGCTTGTTTTTGTTGTTCGCCTTTGAGGTTGAGGCGACGACGTAACGATCTGGCCAAATTTGCGTCGTCGAAACCCACCGCCGCCCTTTTTACACGGGACAAACAAATACAAATGTCGCGGAGTGCAAGTGTGTGACGAGCAAATTGTCGCCGTTGCTATATATTTTTCGGCTCATCGGTGAGCTGAGGAAGGGTTCGGTGTACATAAAGTGACAGTAAAATTTTGGTTGGCCGTGTCGGGTCGGGCATGGTCCTAACGACACAAGCGTGGCCAGATGGGAGTGATGCGTACAATTAATATTCTCTTAGCTCAATGGTCCTGACCCGAAATAAATTGACCGGCGCATTGGCACGGTGGCAAGATGTTAACTGCGTCGCCTCGTATACAGGAGGTCGTGGGTTCGATCCCGACTATGGCGCCTGCTGTATATTCGGAGTTTGCATGTTCTCTCTCTCTCTCTCCCCGTGGTCACGTGGATTTTTCTCTGGGTCCTCTGGGTTTTCTTGTCCACGTTTATAATCGACATCATGCGTTTAGAGCACTTGGCCGACATACATTTCAACGTGATTTAACATCACTTCGTTGTGCTATCACTTGTGGCCAGGTCGCTTTCTGAAAAATATGCTATATTGCTCCAGTGGGCCTGGTAAAAAAAATGCATGTCAAGTGGGGCTCAGCGTAAAACATGAACAAAACAAAAAAATGGTAAAATAAAAAAAATATTTATATATTTTTTTACTTTACTTTTCTCCCTTTCGGTGGGGCCTTGTATGGTTAGGGGAGGCAAGCCCGTTCTCCATATCCCCGTTTTTCATGGCTGGTTTGGCTTGTGCGCGTCACATCTCAATACAAATAAATAGATATAAAATTATATAGTTTTATAGACTGACCGACTGACCCCACCGACTGACCCTGGCTGCCTTGCAGGTGGCGTCGGGGATGGTGTACCTGGCCTCCCAGCGCTTCGTCCACCGTGACCTGGCCACCCGCAACTGCCTGGTGGGAGAGAACATGCTGGTGAAGATCGGCGACTTCGGCATGTCCCGGGACGTCTACAGCACCGACTACTACCGGGTAAGCGGCACCAAACGTGGGTTTTTCCGCGAACCGCGGCGGAGGTCGCCGGCAAATGCGGTGCACGACCGGGGGAAATCCTGCGATGTAACGAAGCTCAAGTCCACGGGCAGCGACCACAAGGCCTTCGTTCCTGTGGCAACGAAACTGTGGAACTCTCTGCCGAAGGCCATCTGTAAAAAAAAGAGCTTTATAGCTCATCGGATTTCTCCGGTATAAATAAATAAAGATTCTAATCCTGATGACTGTGTCAGGGAGTTCGGTTTGACTGGCATCTTCAGGTCCATCTGCCTGAAAATAATTTTATCTTTCAAGACTGTTTTTTTTCTCCAGTCCAAGAACTAACCAGGCTCGAAACTGCTTAGCTTCTGAGATCGGAGGAGATCGTGGGCATTCAGGGTGATGTGGTCGTTGGCGCGAGAAGGCCTTTTCTATTTTAACTTGGAGCCGCTCCTTACACAGCACAACCCCACATTGTCACCGATGTAAAGCGCCGTGAGATTGTATGAAGGCAACTGTATGTGCTGTTATCAATATTTTTACTCATAATATAATAGGTGACGTATGTACGTGTGTTGAACTTCTTCTGCACCGTACGTAGCCAACCTTGACACCCGGAGGGGACATGGGTAATGGCAGTTCTTCACAGCACATACAACTATCTTTTTGTACTCATGTGCTCTGAAGAAGGGGCATTGCCAGGAACGTCAGCAATTATATATATATTTTTTAATTGAAGGTGTTCTCGATGAATGTGGTGAGTTTTTTTGTTGTCACAATAATAATAATAATAATCTCACAGCGCAAAGCCTCGCATTGCGAGCCTCTACCGTATCCTCGTATTTCCAGGCAGTCTCCCATCTGTGCGCTGTGCCAGGCCCAGCCCTTGCTGAGCTTTTGAGATCCGACGAGGTCGGGAACATGCTGGGCGAAATTGGTAAAAGGTGATTTACGAGGTTGGTGTATCACACGAGAGATGGAGTTTGCATAAAGCTATAGACAGTGCCACCTGCAGGGCTGCAGTACAGAAAGTAGGTTGCTGGCCAACCTGAGCAGAGTTTGGGTGCGCTGCCTTGGTACGAGTGAGTTTTCTTTCGTAGCCAGACCTTGTCATCCACGCAGACTCGTTAAGGAATCGGCATCCTATCCCAAGCAGGACCCACTTGGAAATTGGCCTTGAGGCTCAAGGGGAAATGTGATGTGAAGCGCAGCAACTGTCTGGCTTAAACTTAGTTCAAGAGTGAACAAAAAAAACCCCATTACACGCGTGTATATATATTTTTAAACATAATTTGCACGTACAAATGCTGCCAACTACTAATAGTTGTCTTCCTATTTTTCTTTTTATTACCAATTTTTTTGTTATTTAAAGGAAGCACTTATCATATTCAGCACTTATCATTTGTACTCGCGGGTTTTTTTTTTAATCGGTCCTACACGGAGCCCGGCGATTAAAATCCCAACGGGGTTTGTGCCCGTGGTCTCGCCTGCTATTTGAAAAGCCACATTGGTGGCGGTCGAGGTAGTGATTGCCTAATGCGGTGCTACGGCACGCTGTGGGAGCTCTGTATTCTTTTGCCGTTGTCCGCGGCACTTTTTGGAATTTAAGCACACGTGGCGAGACGTTCACTACCTCGCCTGGTATATATCAGGAGCTATACACGAAGACACTTGAAAATTGCACGTTATGCAAATTATCCAAAATTAACATGATCCAAAGTTTTCCTTTCAAAATCTTAAAATCTAAAATCCGGCATGTATCTTTTTTTTCGAATGACAAAATCATCGCTACAATCCACACATCATATGAACCAACCAAATAAATAAACCGAACATATTCATATTTAACAGAGAGGGGGACATCAGAGAAGACTCATGCACACACATATATAACGTGATTTTCAAACAAAACCCCCTAAAAAAATACCTGAATAAAAATACTGAAACCAACAGGTATTTTTTTTTTTCAAAGCCAGCTTATATTCCAAAACTGACGCCACACTACCAATCTTAATGAGTCCAATTTGCGCGGGCATTCTCCGCTTCACTTCGGCTGTGATATATCATCTATTGACATTTTTTGACCTCTGCCTGAATCGCGGCGCCCCGAACAACCAACGCGAGGTGTTTCGCACAATCACACACCGGCGGCGGCGGGGAAGGGAAAAAAAATCCGATGCGACCCGCCGTGAGATTATTGGCTCGGAGCGACGAGAGTGCCAATTGCACTCAGACGCAGGAGACGGCGAAATAAAGAAACTCAAGTCACCTTCACGCTCAAGGTCTCCCACTTAACTATTTATTGGGCCCCCGAAGTGCGATGGCTTTGTTCGACCCCACCCCTCCCCTGCCCCACCCCGTCCGGCCCCCGCACGGGCCTCCCCCGTCTTCACGTGGGAAGTCGCCCGTGGCTGGCTCGTGAGAGCGGCGATCGCCAGTAATCGGACCGTCTGGTGCCTTGCTGTCGGTCAGATCGATGGAAGAGAAGGGCACTCTCCTTTGGTGGTGGTGGTGGTGGTGATCTATGCTAATTAAACGCTCTCAAACCTGTGCCACTGTGCCGCTTGCCGAGTACCTGGCTAGCCATCAATTATTCTTCGTCCTCCTCCTCTTCATCCTCCTCTTCGTCCTCCTCTTCGTCCTCCTCTTCATCCTCCTCCTCTTCATCCTCCTCCTCTTCCTCCTCTTCATTGTTCTCCTCTTCGTCCTCCTCCTCTTAGCCCTCCTCCTCCTCTTCATCCTCCTCTTCATCCTCCTCCTCTTCGTCCTCCTCATCTTCCTCCTCTTTGTCCTCCTCCTCTTCATCGTCCTCCTCTTCGTCCTCCTCTTCATCCTCCTCCTCTTCATCCTCCTCCTCTTCGTCCTCCTCTTCGTCCTCCTCCTCTTCATCCTCTTTCTCTTCTTCTTATTCCAGCGACGTGTTTTGCCCAAGCCCACTCCTTCTTCTCACTGTGTTTAACCTGCTCGTGTTATCCAATCCAGGTGGTCCTATGTCTATCTCTCAACGCAACACAATAGCATCACAGTAAATATTTATACCTCCTTGGGCTTATTCCAGCTCCGAAAAAAAAATAGAACATTAGTTTGATTGATGGCCGATAAATGCTCTTGGTAAGGCATATTTATATAGATGTGTACCCATCGTATTGATAAGAGCTCCGATTGAAGTGACCTCCGGGAGTAGATCCGTGACCTCTACACCTGGGGGAATCCTCTGACACAGGGTAGTGCACTGCTGGCTCCCCGAGTTCCAAACGGACGTCTCTTGACACAGGCTCGGATGCACGACGTGAAAGCGATTCATGAAAAAGGGAAACGTGACCTCTGCTGTCCCCACATACTGTACAGTTTGCATGTAATATGTATGTTGTATGTATGTTGTACTTATTTTGCACCGTACGTAGCCAACAAATGTAATCGGAGGTGCGGGGGAAGGACAACAATCTAAACACGAAAACGAGTTCTGAAGAAATTATTATTTAAAAGTGCAGCATAGCTCCCAGTGGCTTCCTAATATGGAAAGGAAGAGCGTTCCAGACGGCCGCAGAAGAGGCATCTGGAAGCGATGATGCGGTGACCTCCGTCTTTGTGCCCGTGCAACGCTTCCGCAAGCGAGCCCGAGAATTGACGGCGCCGGGCTGTCAAAACAGCCGAGCAAAAGCCGAGCGTTTGGGGGCTAAGCAATACAAATAAAAAATACGTCCCTGGGCCCCGATGTTTTGAAATGCTGTGGAAAGGGGGGCGATGGGAAGAGGCGAAATTTTAAATCAAACGTCCACGCCAACAAGCCACTCGGCTGATTCATGTTAAAGGGGGGAAATAAAGTAGCGAGCAGATTTTAACGTGAGCGCAAAAGCTTACCCCCCCCCCCTCCCCGGCCATCTCATTCTCTACCCCATCCTCGATTCAAAGTATTAACTTAATTTAAATAAACATTTGCACACATCAATGTGGGCGAGCATACAACGTACCGAAAACCAAATGGGATCTTTTTTTTTTTCATTTAATCTAATCAAATGAAAATGAAAAGCTATAAACAAGGGAGCTTAGCGGCAAACGTTGCCACCGTGCTGGATAATATCCATTCTAATACAGTTGACCTTTGCCTTCACGACCTTCTGCTTTGGATATTTGTCAAGTGTATTATATCGAGCCAATGTATTTCATCATGCTGACATGCGGACTGCGTTAGGTTCAGATCTCATTTGTGAATTCCACGTTGCAATGCCGGCAATTGCACGCGAGACAAAGATCCCCCGTATAGCCGTCAACAGGCTGTAGGGGCAAGTGCTGTTTAGCGAGCAGCGTCTACGAAGGCCAGAACGGCGCACGAGGGGGTGGATGGCCAGCATCACGTCCGGCCGCCTACGTCTTCCTCCTAGCAATGCTTTTACGCATTGCACGAGGTACTCATTTGAAGTTTTGTCGACCTAGGAGAGAAGCACGGGACCGGTTCAGATAATCGTCACTGGTGTTGGTGGCCGTTGGGCGGGCAACGACCTTGGGTCGCTGGTTTTCGTAGCGCTGCGCGCCAACCGCTGCAACCACCGCTCCCCATGCACAGACACACACGTCGCACAAGATAGACGTACAAAGACAAAGATCCCCCGTGTAGCCTACAGAGACTGCTGGTGAGAGCAGCTATTTTAAGCCGGGGGCCAATACCACATACCACACCGGCCGCCTTTGCCTCCTCTTCAATTGGTACCCGTTTAAGACTGAATCGACTTAGGGGAGACCCAGAATCGGGTCTGATATCACTCGTCGCAGATGTTGCCCATGGCCAGAAATCAAACTCAGGTGGCCAAGTTCCAAGTAGGCATACTCACACAGTATAACATTAATGTGTGAAAAAGAGCTTCATAGCTCATCGGATTCCTCCAGTAAAAATTAATATTCAGATTCTCATATTCTGATTCTGACCCGCGCGCACACACGCACGCTCCCTGTCACTTTCTTACTCGCTCTCTCTTCTCTCTCTCTGTGTGTGCCTGCGTGTG